AGAGAAAGAAAGAGAAAGAGAAAGAAAGAGAAAGAGAAAGAAAGAGAAAGAGAAAGAAAGAGAAAGAGAAAGAAAGAGAGAGAAAGAGACAGAGAGAGCGACAGAGAGAGACAGTGACAGAGAGTGAGAGAAAGATGCCTAGAGCTCCCTTTCGACATTTCTTTGAGCAGCATTCTTGCTGGTCTCACAAGGAAATCTGAAAAATAAAATTCAAAATCGGCCTTCTGGGTTTCGACTAATCTAAGAAGATTGAGGGCAAAACTGCCCTCCTGGCATCTCTACATGAATCTCAGAGTATAACAGCAATCGTGGTCCTGAAATGCATGCAGCCTGCATATTTTAAGTCAGACCCTACTTCTTGCTATGACTGCCTGACTCAAAATACTAGCGAGGAAGTGGATCAACAAGAGAATGCAAATGCCTCCTTTTCCTCTCACTATCTTTGCCTACACAGTTTCTACCACATTTGTAGGAGGAAAGAGGAGAGGGCAAAAGTTGGGGGTGGGTAAGAAGAGAGCGAGAGTGAGAGAGAAGGAGAATGTTAAAATTTGTGCCTTTTTTTATTTTAATGCTTACATTCATTGGAGTAAATCTTTAAATGAACAATTTACTGGCCTTATTACACAGCCACTTTTGGAGTACTGCGTGCAATTCTGGCCTCCCTCCTATAGGAAGGATGTTGTGAAACTGGAAAGAGTTCTGAAAAGATTTACAAGGATGTTGCCAGGGTTGGAGGGTTTGAGCTATAAGGAGAGACTGACTAGGCTGGGGTTGTTTTCCCTGGATCATTGGAGGCTGAGAGGTGAGCTAATAGATGTTTATAAAATCATGAGGAGCATGGATAAGATAAATAGGCAAGTCTTTTCGCTGTGTGGGGAGTCCAAAACTGGAGGGCATAGGTTTAAGATGAGAGGGGAAAAATATAAAAAAGGTCCTAAGGGGTATCTTTTTCACAAAGCAGGTGGTGCATGTATGAAATGAGCTGCCAGAGGAAGTGGTGGAGGCTGCTACGATTACCACATTTAAAAGGGATCTGGATGGGTATATGAATAGGATGGGTTTAGAGGGATATGGGCCAAATGGGATGAGATTTATGTAGGATATCTGGTCAGCATGGATGAGTTGGACTGAAGGTTTGTTTTGTGCTATATATCTCTCTGACTCTATGTGTAAAAACTGCCTCTCTGAATTGAACACTAATAGGGAAGAATGTGCACACATGTCAATATTTGCATCTTGAACAGTCTCCTCCAAGTTTTCATTGCAGCACTCAGTTTAAGGTGGGCTACAAATGTCAGCTGAAAATTACAAATCTGGAATGAATATTGTTGATTTTGTGGTCAGTCCTTCCTGTTGTTTGCATTAAAATCCAGACTACAAGAACTTAAAAATTCTCATAAAAAGCATCATCTTGAAAAGTTAACGGATGTTTTGATTCTTATTGCTGGTCTTCTTGTGTCATACACCTTTCCTTTCCCACAGTACGACACCAGGATTACATGGATGTCAGTGAGAGTGAGAGTGAATTCTCAGATGTTTCATTGTTTAGGATGCCTCCTTATAATTGTAGTCAACTGCATTTGTTGGTTACATCTCTATTTCTACATAAGGGCCTTGCAGCAGCTCACAATAGTCCTCAGGCAACCGAGAAACTGCCAAGAGACTAAGTTTCAATGGCTCCTAATGGGAGGGATTCTTCTGGATCAGTGGACAGCTTGCACGCCTTTGGCTGTTATAGGTTACAGTTTAATTGCTGGATACAGCATATGAAGTTGCCTCTCAAAAGCCTTGCTTGCTGGCTATGCCTAGAAGGGATGGCAATGAGGGTGACTGAGCTGCTTGCCCATTCCACTCTTGATATAAAACTTGACTCCTCATGATGGATGCAGCAAAATCAGTAAGCAGATATCGGTCAGCTAATTTAGTAGATTTCAGGCAGCCAGTAGTTCCTCTGCAAACAGTATTGAGGACATGATCCAACTTCTTGGCATGGTGACAGAATAATATGTTAGAACACAGACTGCCATTTTCTTCTTTGCTCTGTTATGACCAGTCCCCAAGTGAGGGTTCCCAATTCATGTTAGAGGTGAGGAGGGAGGAACTGACTCCTCCTCTCTGTTGAACGCTGCCCCCTTCCTGTTTGTTATGACAAGGCAAAATTAAAGGATCCTTTCCCACATGGATACCTTTTCCAATTCCAATGAATTTATGTACTACCTATTTATGCTTTTAACAGAACCAGTTTAACCCGACAGATAACAAGTAAACCCTTGGGAGCCAAGATACATATTGGCTTGGTTCTAGGAGATTTACATGGAAACTCCAGAGTCTGTAAAGTTAAAAAACAATTCTTTGTTGAAATTAAAAGTAGAATATGCAAAGCTTTGTTTGGAATTTTTGTTTCCAGTACAAGTCCTAACAATATCTAGTGTTAAATTAATAATGCTTGCCTAACAATATCTAGTGTTAAATTAATAATGCTTGTTGTGTTCTTTTGTCAATGATCTTCCTTCCTCCCTTTAAAATGCTAACAACTGCAAATTCAATCTTCTTTTTAAATAGTTACCAGCCTGCACAGATATCCACAATGTAACAAGGCATTTATAACTTTCTTGATGTATTCATATGATATCAACTGTTTAGCTACGTGTTGGTAACCATTTGAACACTCCAGGAAACTGCTGCCAGCTTTAGTCATTTCTTTAAAATAATATTTCATAATCCCCTAATGCTTAGTCCCTGATTTGCAGTGACACAGCATTACTTTAAACCAATACATGCTTACACATAACTAACTTTTTGGCAGTTATAGTGAAGATATCCTTTAGAAGCTTTGGATGACTTCCTGATAGCACCACAGTGTGACAGTTGAAAATTCATAGTATCACTTGAAGATTGTTTTTACGTTCAGGAACACATCTAAGACTCAATACTTCTCCTGCAGTTTTGTTAATACTCACTGGGGATCTTCTCTTCTTCAGCTGGAGTATCCTCAACCTCTTTCTTCTTTCTTAAACCCTTGACTTTCTCAACAAGATTTAGAAAGCGGCCTTTGAGCGACGTATCCGTTTCTTCCTCTTCCTCCTCTTCTTCTATCTGAATACCTGTGAGGTAAAATGATATTTCTTTAGAGGAGTGTGAAAACCCTAGCATCTAAGTTTTGTAGATGGGAAGAATTATTTTGGATCTTTTGACCTTATCTTTGTGGTTTGGAAAATATAGATGAATCAGATGTAACAGTATTGGATTAACTCTGTATTGTTAGGACATTTCAGTGTCAACCACATTCCTATGGGTTTGGAGTCACATGTAGGCCAGACAGGATAAGGATAGCATTGTTCTCTCTCCACAAAAAGGACATTAATGAACCAGATGGATTTTACAATCAAAAATGGCTTCATGGTCACATTACTGATGACAGGGAGGGAGTTCCAGGATTTTGACCCAGTGATAGTGAAGCAATGGCGGTATAGTTCTAAGTGGAAGGTAATGACATTACGGTAATATAGCCTGACTGGTAAACAAGGAGCCCAGGACAATGCTCCTGGGACACAGGCATGCAGCGATTATGGTACTGTTTCAAAAGGATGCCAGTCTTACAACATAATTATCGCACTGATTCTAGTGTCTGAATCATGTTTTTGTAGGTCAATGGTTTCAAACCATTTACAGTGGTCTCATACTTACCACAATGAGTAAGAAGTTTGCTGTGGAAATTGAGCAGCACATCTTTCACATTATCTGAAAGAGGGCATTCCTCTTCATCTGTCTCCAATTTAAAATTCATTAGCATGTTAATCTAAAATGAAAGCACACAATCCAGCATGAACAATAATTTAAAATAATACTCATTATATATTATCAGTAATGAAGCAGGCTAAAGAGTTTGTCACATTCACTGTATTGTCCATACAGAAAATTCCATATGTAAATTAATTTTGGGTACACTGCTCATTTGTTAAAAAGATTACGTTTATTCTATCACAGATCTCTAAATTTGTTTAAAGTATATAGAAAAAGTATTCTAGTATAGTTAAAATAATCAGCGAGTCACTCCATGTACATATTGTGCTGCACTGGTACTGGTACATCCTTGGATTGTGATTCCCTACCATGGGGTCTGGGTGTTCATTGTCCGTACTGCACTCAAGGCTACTCTAGCTAGCTAGACTGCTCTTGCTCCAAATCTGTTGCATCTCTATCTTTATGTTATCTAACAGTAATTCTCTCTCACTCTAAGTCCTGTAAGCTATCTGTTAATATTCCAGTGCATAGAATACTGATTACAGCATTCTGGTGCAGAGTTTTCAATCCTGTCTTCTTCGAGTCTCGATGTAAATGTAAGGGATGCCTTTAGGTCCAAGCTGAGATAAAATTTATTTACTTGGAGGGTTGTGAACTTTTCCTATTCTCTACCATAGAGGGCTGTGGAGGTTCAGTCTTTGAGTACATTTAAGGTACAGATTGATAGACTCCTGTTTACCAGTGGTGTACATGGTTATGAGGATGGGATGAGTAAAAGGCATTGAAGTGTTCAATCAGTCATGATGTACTGAATGGCAGGGCTGGCTTGACAGGCTGAATGGCCTACTCCTGTGCCTATGTTCCAATAACAATTGACTGTTGATGTCAGACTTGGATGAGCATGTACATCAGCATTAACATTCATTTCTCATAACGCATAACAATACCATCCGTACATCAACTTCAGTTACAAATTCCTTAAGGAGAAGGGCACAAATAAATTCAGGAGTAGATCTGTCCTGCATCTGAGGGATTGTAACCTATTCCCCAAATACATCCATCCATCAGTAATTCTGTGACAAGGTGTGATTCTCATCGCTCCTGACACTCTGGTCAAAAATTTGAGACAGCAGATTGTTAAGTAGGACCAACTCATTAAATACGCTTCCTGCTTGAATAAATGCAAAATACTGTGAATGCTGGAAATTGGAAACAAAAAACAGAAATTGCTGGAGAAATTCAGCAGGTGAGGAAGCATTTATGAAGAGAGGAAAAGAGTTAACGTTTTGAGCATGAAGGACCCTTCTTCAGAAATGAAAGTGCTGGGAAGTGGTGGCTCTTATGCTATTCACAGCTTACTGTCCCCTCTGTCAACAGCACCAAAGCCACCATTTTCCAGCACTTTTCATTTCTGAAGAGTCATATCAGACTCGAAACATAACTCTGTTTTGCTCTGCATGGGTGCTGGGTTTCTGCAGCACTTTGTCAATGTCTCACCCTACCTGTAACCTTAAATAGTCTGCATTCCCAAGACAGCCCTACCAGGCTAGTATTTCAAAAAGGGCAGCCTCTCAACCACAGCTGTATAAATTAGTTTCATCACTGTAAGATCAACTGAAAGAGATTTTAATTTTTTTTTTAGAAAAGCATAGTTGCATTTGTTCCTTGGACATCACATTTGTGCTTTGCTTCCTCCAATACGCCCATCATCCACTTTGATATCTTAAATAGTAATACCTTAGTCACTAACTGTTTTGATGTTCATACCATATTACCTTAAAATTTTATAATATGAACAGCAAGTTTAAATTACTCAGCATAAAAAGTTTGATACTTTCATATGTGAAAATCTGCAATCATTCAAAGCAGGAAATATGAAATCGAAAACAACTAGATGCCTAATACAGCTGAACATTAATGTGTCTATTACAGTGATAATACTGGACACAAATGAGTGAAGTTGACTTGTAAAAGCATTGACTTTTGTAAATCAAAATCACTTTATCCTCAGTGTTACCTTTCATAGCGCTTGTTAGCAGAACACCTGAATATTGCTGAAAAAATGAGGCACACTGACAAAGCCTTTGATCCTGCACTCCTCAGGACAGAATCACAAGAATGCCAAATCTCAAAGAGGACAACAATTTATATTGTAAGAGAGTGCTGATTGGTTGGCAAGTGGACTCTGATTGGTAGAGGTGTTATCATGAGTAATGTACCCCAATCAACCATCCAGCTTTAGTTTATATTCAAACCAGGCAAGATAGCACTGATTAGGAAATGTGCCAGGAAATCTTTTGTTCAGTTGAAAAAAATGCAATGCATGGAAATACATTCAGCTATAGTTTAAAATTTTTGACTATTTCCCATTAACTTCAGTTGTATAATCCAGAAAGGATTTACCTGCTCTTGAGGGGGTGAACGGAATTCCCTGGTTTTTCTGGCAGTTTCGGCTGCGGACATGTTAAAAGAGAACATGAGCTCTCGGTAGCGTTCCCTCTGATCTGTTTGCATATTATTGATAAATTTATCAGCTAACGAAGCAATTGATTCAACTCGGTGTCGAAGTTCACAGTCACAGAAGAATTGCAAAAGTTTGCACATCTGTTTGGAGGGAGAAGATTAGTCAGGAAACTGGAATTGCATTTCATTTTTCTTCCGATTACAATGTATCAATTTCTAGTGAATTAATAATCTGACAAAATAAACAAGCTGTTAAGAATATTACTGTAGCATGAATTAAGTATTTCACTTTTTAAAACTTATTCTTCCACAGGATGTAGATGACATGTGCTAAACCAATATTTACTGCTACTCCTCAATTCCATTCAGAAGGTAGTGGTGAGCCACTTTTTGAACCGTTGCAGTCTGTGTGGTATAGATACATCCTCATTGCTGTTAATAAGATTTTGACTCAGCAACAGGCCAGGAATGGTCATATAGTTCAAACGCATGATGGTGTTTGGCATGGAAGGGAACCTGAACTGGTGGTGTTCCAATATGCCTGCTGCCCTCGTACCTTTAGCTGGTAGAGGTTGAGAGTTTAGAAGGTGCAGTCAAAGAAGTTCTGGTGATCTTGTTGTGTACATCGTACACACTACTGTCACTGTATGTTGGTGGCAGAGGGAGTGAATGTTTAAATTCATTTACTTTCTGGTCTATGGAAGCAACTATTATAGTGACTTTACACAGCATGACTGATGAAGTGTTACCTAACATGGACTAATTGTATAATTTTACACATGATAATCACCAACTCAGAATCACATTAATAGGAATTTCTCTCCGATAATACTAACATTTAAAAAGAGATAAAATATGTTAGGATAGGAAACAGATACTGCTGTTTTCTATGTAAGTGCCAGGCAAGAAAGTCTATTAGAGGTGGATCTTAAAAGTTCTCATTGAGAACCTTTGATTTCCAACTGAATTAAAATTGGTAGACTAGATTGGTAAACTATATTACTGAAAGGATGTGAAAAGTCATCATACAAAGAGGAGATGAGAAACATGCAAATAGCTGTAGTTGCATGCTTTCTGGACATTACTTTTTTTGTATCTCTAAAGGGGGAGGGGGAGGTCGGTGAGTGGAACAGATGGAGAAGGTTTATCAAAAAGCATGTGGTGACCTGAACTGGAGAAGCTAAAAGAAGAGGAGCAACTCACTATTCTTGGACAAAATAATTTTTTATATTTTCTTTTATACAATGAGCAGGCCTAATGGTCTCCACTAATTTCAATAAATATATTTATAAAGAAGAAAATGGATTTTTCATACTTGTAATTTTACAGACTCGGGCAGTTTCATCTGCAAAAGTCCCTCCTCTAGTTCTTCCTCCTTCGTTTCTTCGCCTTCTTCCACAGACCTGTCCTCTTTGGGCTCTTCTACCTCTTCATGTTCATCTTTCTCTCCTTTCTCTCCAGCTTCTTCTGCTTCCCCTTCTTCCTCAGCAGTTGGTACTTCTTCATCCTTAGCACTTTCATCCTCAATCTTTTCAACTTCCTCCTTGACCTCAGCAAACACATTAGGTTCAATCATCTTAAGTATGTGCTTAACGTCTTCATCATCAAAGATCCCCATAATGAGGAGAGTGCTGACAAGTTTGAGTACTGGCACAAACTGAAATTCCACACTTCCGCCCACTGGATCCCTTGTGTGCTGCCCACCATCTTGGACAGCCTCTGTCAGCATGTTAATAGCTTTGTTTTTGAGAATGTCCAGTGGGATCTCAGGACTGAACTGGTAACGATCATTACTGGTGCCAACAAAAGATAAAGAGGCAAAATGTAGAGGTGGTCTCAAGCATGTGGTAACTCCTACACCAGGCAGGCCATAAACCTTGCTCTCTCCTGGGAACAATGTAATTTGTTTAGTTTCTTCAGTCATTGGGACAATAAACTCATTATTCATCATTAGTCGCGATCGTTTAGCTGACTCTAGATGGACACTGATAAGTAGATCATAATAGCCACTTCGCAGGAGGCCTGGTATATAGGTGTTCTCAATCGTGTAAAGTAACTGAAATTCATCAACATGGCTACATATGGCATGGGCAACCCGGTTGTTGCCCAATGCACACACTGCGCAATATAGTAGTAATGTGTGATAATGGAATTGCAACAGGTCTTTATGTTCAGAAAGCTCCAAGATGTCAATACACCTGCATGGAAATATTAAAATACAAACATTAAAATTCATTCAGCCAAGGGACTGCAATGTGACACCTGGTACAGTAATCTAAATCCAGTTGTGCAAAAATCAGACAATCAAATACATTTAGTCAAATTCTTTACCTTTATTTATGGATTACAGAACAATTATTTTCTAACAAAAACATTCTGCTAGTCAGGCAGTATCTGTGGTGCGTGTACGGAATAAACTGCCAGAGAAAGTGGTGAAGGCTGGTACAATTACAACATTTAAAAGGCATCTAGATGGGTACATGATTAGGATGTGTTTAGAGGGATATGGACCAAATGCTGGCAAATGGAAATAGATTACTTTAGGATATCTGGTCGACATGGATGAGTTGGACAGAAGGGTCTGTTTCCATGCTGTGCATCTCTATGAGTCTATGTTAATGTTTCAGGTTGATAGATGTTCAACAAAACTCCCAGTTAGACCCTGAAATGTTGGGTGGACTTTAATGGTCTACCTTGTGGCGAATTTGGTAGCAAGGCCTGCCAAGTCTAAGGTGGCTCAAAATGCAGCAGGTTTACCCTAAAAGAGGTGATATGGAGCTCTTGCCAATGGGAGAAACCCCATCAACTCTATTGCATACCGTACATTAACTCAGTTTCTCTCTCTACAGATGTTGCCTGACCCGAGATTATTTCCGGCATTTTTATATTTTAATTCCATTTTTCCACATCTACAATACAATTGTTTTCTAGCTCCTAACCTGTTCTCCTCTGGAATATGCAGTGCCATCATGACAAGTGGTTCTGAGCATTCTACCATCCAGCCATGCCGTTCACTGATCCGTGCAGTTTCCGCTTTCAAAAAATCATTAGGCACCCGACTCCATACTACTGGTGTGATCATTTGGACGTCAAGTCTGGGAGGACACTGAGGGATGGTGTTCTTTCGCTCGCTCTTAAACATAGCTGCTGAAATAGGCATAATATTCTGTAAAATACAAAAACGGCAAAAATAATTATTGCCACATGGTCAAGTCTTTGAACAAAGTTTTCTATGTAAATGGTGTTATATCATGGCTGTATATTCATGCTACTTAGAAATCACAATCTTAAGGACACAAAGACAAACTTATAGCAGAGTTGTATTTGCTGCTCTCTTTTGTGGTGTATGTATTTACTTCACCAATGTACAAGCCAATCATCTGCAATACCTCTGAGCTCTAATGAACGTCTTTGTGCGAAACTTTAATACTTTCCTTTCTTTACAGATGTTGACTGGCCCACTTACTGTTTAGTACAGGTTCTGTTAGTGTTTCAGATTTCCAGCATCTGCAGTATTTATTTTGCAGGATGTGTACAACTAAGAATGGACAGAATTTTGAAAGCCCACTGGAGGCAGGAATAGAGAAGGAATCCAGTCTTTCTCACTACTGGGATGCATGCTGGTTAAGGACGTTAACGAGGTTATGTTACAACCGGGGAAAGGAAGCAGTTTCTTGGCAGCCGACTCATGCAGGCCAAGGCTCCTGAGATACTTTAAGACTCCTTTCCCTTGCTGTCAATGCAGGAAAATGGCTGCAGCTGCAGCCACAGGCTCTCTGGTTGTAATTAATCTAACAAAACCTGTTAGTCATGAGCCAGTGACATCAGCCTGACATCAGTGCTCCAGCCTCAAAGTAAAAATCCTGCTCATACACGGAGCAGGTTCCGAATTATTAATGGTCCTGACACTGTTTTTTGAAGAAAAACAGAAATAATAATTTGAGACGAAGATCAACTATGTAATGCTATGTGCGCGTCCTATAACCCAATGTCACACATACCTTCAGCTTTCCAAGCTCAAATTGGAACATATTCTGGCTGGAAGGCTGAACAAAGACTGCAGGGAATAACTTCTTACTTGGTTCAACCTATGAAACATATTAAAGTGAAGCAAACAGCATTAAAACACGTGCAGCTGAAGTCTGACAAAGTAAAAATAGATATCCGTTTAAGAAGACTAAAAGAGGCAGGTGCAGAATTAGGCCATTCAGCCAGAGTGTACTCCAACATTCAATGAGATCATGGCTAATCTGATTACCCTCAACTCAACTTTCCTGCTTTTTCACCATGACCCTCAATTCCTTTGCTGATTAAAAATCTGTCTAACTCTGCCTTGAATATACTTAATGACCTTGCTTCAATAGCCCTCAGCAGTATAGAATTCCACAGATTCAATACCATCTGAGAGATAAAATTCCTCTTCAAACGTCTTAAGTGGACAATCCCTTACTCATATATATGCCCTCTGGTTCTAGACTCTCCTATAATGGAAAACAACCTCGCTGCAACTACACTGTCAAACCTCTTCAATAAAGGTCACCTCATTCTTCTAAACACTAACGAATACAGGCCTACCTATTCAATCTCTTCCCCATAAGAAAAGCCAGGATCAACTTTGTGAATCTTCTCTGGACTGTCTCCAATGCCAGTATCTTTTCTTACATAAGGGGAGAAAAACTGTTCACAGTATTTTGTGTTCTAACAATGCTTAGTCTAGTTCTAGCATGACTTCCTATTTTTAAATTCTATTCCATTTGAAATAAAGGCCAACATTTCATTTGTCTCCCTCATTACCTGCTGAACATATATACTAGCTTTTTGTGTTCATTGCTCAAGGGTCACCAAAATCTCTGCACTGCAGCTTTCCAAATTCTTTCTCCATTTAATATTCAGCTCTCATGTTCTTCCTGCAAAAGTGCATACCCTCACATTCTCCCACATTGTATTCCAATTGCCAAGTTTTACTCACTCACTTAACCTGTCAATATCTTGAATCATCTCCACTACTTACACCCCCAACCCTATCTTTGTGCTATCTGCAAACTTGACAATTGTACAAAAACAGAAGTTGCTGGAAAAGCTCAGCACGTCCAGCAGCATATGTGAAGAAAAAAATCAGATTTAACCTTTTGGGTCCGGTGACCCTTTCTCAGAATTGTTCTGAGGAAGGGTCACCGGACCCGAAACATTAACACTGATTTTTTTCTTAGCTTTTCCAGCAACTTCTGTTTTTGTTCCTGATTTACAGCATCCGCAGTTCTTTCAGTTTTTTTTGATGGTTGTACATTCACTTCCCACATCCACGTCATTAATACATGACTGTACATCCTTACAAGAAGCTTTTTGGGGAATGCAGGGTGCGGTAGTGGTGACAGGGAACATGGTCAGAGGGAGGGAGAGATCAGGAGCCAAGGAAAGGTGGGGTGGAGAAAGAGGAAGAAATCGCTGAACAAAGTAGACAAAAGAGAATAGGCCTCCCGGCTCTTTGTCCCTTCTCATCGAACCCTTCCCACTTCTGGGCCCTCTTCCCTCCTCTCTCCAGGTCAATCTCCCCGTCCCATGTTCAGATATCTGCTTCTGAAAATCCAAATATATTACATATACTACTTCCCTTTATCTATCCTGCTTGTTACCTCCTCAAAGAACTCTAGTAACTTTGTTTGTCATGATTTCCCCTTCTTGAAGCCATGCTGATGATACTTCATCACATTATGCATTTCTAAATGCTCAGCTATCACATTCTTATCATACGCTAACACTGCCCCAATTACAGGCATCAAGTTAACTGGCCTTGGGTTACCTGGTTTTCTCGTCTCCCTTTTTCAATGAAGATGCAACCCACCCGGTTTGGGGATGGATCAGCCTTTATTCTCTAGTACTTTTCTCTCTATTGATACTTATTGTACTGAGTTCATCTCCCATTTTTACTCCTCAATTATTTAGTATTCTTGGAATGCCAGTATCTTCCACCATGAAGACTCATGCAAAGTATTTATTCAACTTCCCTGCTAGTTCTTGGTTCCTCATTGTTATATAAGCTCTTACTTCCTGTTTTAATAATACTTGCCAATTTATCCTCAGAAGTTTTTTTTGATCATCTTTTGTTCGCTGGAAAAATTCTTCCAATGCTCTGGATGATCACTAATCTTTGCCTCTTTGTATGTTTTGTTTCTTTCAATTTAATATTGTTTTTAGCTTCTTTGTTTAATCATGGTTTGTTTAATCCCCTTCATAGAATTCTCCTTTCTCATTGGGACATATTGTTGTGAGTCATGAACTGTTTTCTTAAATATCTGCCATTGATCATCAACTATCTTTACTGCTAAATTCCTGTCCTCATCCACTCCAGCCAACTGTGTCCTCATGCCTTTGTAATTATCCTAACTTCAGTTTAGCACAGTTGTTTCGATCCAAGTTTCTCAGACTAAACTGAATGTTAAAACCTACCATATTATGTTCACTCTTTCCTAGTGGATCTTTTACTTTGAGATCATTTATTAAATCTGCCTCATTATTCATTAAACTATCCAAAATATCCAAATCCCTGGTTTGATGCATGCATCTTGTTCTAGGGTCTGGTCTTGGACAGATTCTATGAAGTCTTCCTCCTAGCTTTCTCTGTCAATTTAATTTACCCAATTTACATGTTTTTGGAATGCATTCACATACGTAAATCGTATGAAAGCTGTAAAATAGATGAGTACCCTCAAACACACTGGCATTATAAACTTTCATCCTAATATTTTGTAAATAAGAGTGTTGAATTTACTTTATACTCCGCCCCAATATTCTGAGGTCCTGATGTTTAACCCCTTGAATAGAGTTTACGGTGAAATGATCAATTTGCTTGTCTGAAACACTGATATAATCTTAACACATAGTATTAGATATAAGCTACTACATCTTAGCAAAATGTTGTGTCCCAATTACTAGGGCTCCATCCTTTCAAACTCAGCTCAGGGAATTATAATAATCAGAACATTTGAGTATGGGAGCTGGGACATCATGTTGCAGTTGTACAGGTCATTGGCGAGGCCACGTTTAGAATACTGCTTACAATTCTGATCATCCTTCTACAAGAAGGATGTTGATAATCTTGATGGGGTGCAGACAACATCTAGAAGAATACTGCTGGAACTGGAGCATTCGAGTTATAGGGACAGGCTGAATAAGCTGGGAGTTTTCCTCTCGGAGGCTGAAGGGTGACCTTATAGAGGTTTATAAAAATCATGAGGAGCATGGATAGAGTGACTAGCCAAGGTTTTTTCCTAGGATGTGGGAGGCCAAAATTAGAGGGCACAGGTTTAAGGTGAGAGGGGAAAGATTTAAAAAGGGACCTGAGGAGTAACTTTTTCACGCAGAGGGTGGTGCATGTATGGATTGAGTTGCCAGAGGAAGTGGCGGAAGTGGGTACAATTACAGCATTTAAAAGGCATCTAGATGTGTACATGAATAGGAAGGATTTAGAGGGATTTGGGCCAAAGGCTGGCAAATGGGACTAGGTCAGATTGAGATGTCTGGTCAATGTGGACAGGTTGGACCGAAGGGTCTGTTTTTGTGCTGTTTGACTCTAACTCGAGCAGGTGTTTGAGTTTCTAACTCGAAAAAAACCTGATCTGAGTAGCTTTGCTTGTTTTCTTTAAACATCGAGCAGTGATGCTTCAGTAGCACAAGTTACTCTGATATAATTTGCAGCACAGGATCACAGCTACTCCAGCCAAAACCAACCTTGCAGAGTGGTGTTTTATTATTTATTCACTCATGTAATATCATCATTGCCCTTCACTAATTTCCATTGAACAGACTGGGTTGCTAGTGCATTTCAGAGGGTAGTTTAACAGTTCATTGTGTTATTGTGGATCTGGAGTCACATATAGACCAGAACATGTAAGAAGCCAATTTTTTTTCTTCTCGAAATACATAAATGAACCAGATTTTCCAACTGAGGACAATGTCACAGTCATCATTACTGAGACAAGCTTACAATTCCAAATTTATGAATTAAATTTGAATTCCATCACCTGCTGTGGTGGGATCTGAAACCATTTCCCCAAAGCATTAGCCTGGACCTTGTGACTACTAGTTCATAACACCTCCTTCTCCACATAATATATAACAAAGATAACAATATGCCTTAAGACACTTCACATTGGAGGGAAGAGAGACAAAGTTCGGTAAAATGAGGACAACAACTATATACATGGTTTAAAAATAAAAGACAGGTTTTTAAGAAAAAGGGAGAGCGAATTATTGAAAATGTAACAGTCATGAGTAATTTAACAAATAGGCTAAAGTAGTAGAAAGGAACTGTCCACAGGTCACGGACTTCAACTATGCACTTCATTAAACCCCACATAGGAGGCCATTAAATTTGGAAAAAGTGTCAAGTGGGGAAGCACTTCTGCAGAAACATAAGGGACCCAACGATGAGGCTCGTTTCTGATTCCTGAGCACACTGACATCTGACATCCATTGCCCCAGTGCGATTTTATGGGCGATGTGAGTTAAGTACAACAGAAGAACAGCAAGGTGGGAGGCCCAGTTAGATAGATATCTCATCACAGTGGTCAACCAACAGCCTCGCTGGGAGAGGTAGGCTGAAGCGGAGGCTAAAAGGAGATGAGGATGGCTGAAAAAGGAATCCACTCAAGGTTTGTAAGAATGAAAACTATTAGGGCTAAAATTGAATCAGAGATAGTAGGAACTGCAGATGCTGGAGAATCCGAGACAACAAGGTGCAGGGCTGGATGAACACAGCAGGCCAAGCAGCATCATAGGGCTATATGTGCACTCCTCTACAAGATTAACAGCGGCCAGGGTCTTTTCATCCTTATGGTTCCTTCACTGGAACTTGAGAAGAGGTTCCATTGGTCCACAGGCTCGCTACTGGCAGGCCATTTCTAAATAGCTGTTAGACTTCAGACTCAGTAGAAAGCCAATTTGATGACAGAAACATTCTGGTTCTGAAAATAGCTGAATATATTTTTCTTTCACAGGATGGGATACAAAATTTGCTTTCTTGAACTACTGCAGTCAATGTCATGTGATTACACTCAAACTTGGTGACAGTGAAGAACAGTCAATATTGTTCCAAGCGAAGATTGTGGCTTGGTTGGGAATTTGCTTCCACATGTCTGCTGCTCTTTTCTCTCTAGGTGGAAGGGCTTACACGATAAAGAACAAAGAACAATACAGACAGGAACAGGTCTGCTATTATGTCTGCTTCCACCAACTCCTCTGGCAGCGTGTTCCTGGCACTCACCACCCTTTGTGTGAAAAAGGTGCCTCGCACATCTCTTTTAAAACTTCCCCCCCTCGCACCTTGAACCTGTGTCCCCTAGTAATAGACCCCTCCACCCTGTGAAAAAGCCTCATACTTTCCACTCTATCCATGCCATTCACAATCTTCTAAACTTCAGTCAGGTTGCCCCTCAATCTCCTGCATTCCCGTGAAAACAAACCCAGTCTATCCAACTTTACTTCATAGCTAAAATTCCCCCGTACCAGGCAACATTCTAGTCAACCTTTTCTGTACCCTCTCCAAATCAACCACATCCTTCCAGTAGTGTGGTGACTAGAACAATACGCAATATTGTAAGTGCAGCCTAACTAAAGTTCTATAAAGCTGCAGCATAACTTATCTATCCTTATACTCAATAATCCTTCCAATGAAGGCAAGCATGCCTGAAGCCTTTCCTTTTACAACCTTATCTATCTGTGCTGCCATCTTCAGTGATCTATGGACCTGCACACCCAGATCTCTCTGTATGTCAATACTCCTAAGGGTTCTGTCATTCACTGTATATTTTCCTCTTGTACTTGACCTCCCAAAATGCATCACCTCACATTTGTCCGGATTAAACTCCATCTGCCATTTTTCTGCCCATGCCTCTAACTGATCTATATTCAGCTGTATCCTCTGACAATCCTCCTCACTATCCGCAACACTATCAATCTTTGTACTGCCCACAAACTTCTAATTAGGCCAGATACGTTTTCCCCCACATGATTTATCTATATCACAAACAGCAGAGCTCCTAGCACTGATCCTTATGTAACAGCACGAGTCACAGCCCTCCATTCCAAAAAGCATCCTTCAACTGCTACCCTCTGTCTCCTATAACTAAACTGGTTCTGTATTCATCTTGCCAACTTACTCCAATATCAAGCGACTTCACTTTGTACCAGTCTGCCATGAGGGACCTTATCAAAGGCTTCATTGAATTCCATGTAGACAACATCAACTGCTTTTCCCTCATCAATTATCTTCGTCACCTCCTCAAAAAACTCAATCAAGTTAGCGAGGCACGAACTCCTCCGCACAAAACCATACTGTTTATTGCTAATCAGTCCTTCTAAGTGCTTATAAATCTTGTCGCTAGGAATCTTTTCCAATAATTTCCCTACCACTGACGTGAGGCGCACAGGCCTGTAATTTCCTGGACTATCCCTGTTACCCTTTATAAGCAATGAGACAGCAGTAGCTATTCTCCAGTCCTCTCGGACCTCAGCTGTGGCCAAAGAGGATTCACAGATGTCTGTCAATGCTCCGGTAATTTGTTCTCTTGCCTCCCTTAATAGTCTGGGATAGGTCCCATTAGGACCTGGGGACTTATCTAACTTAATACATTTTAAGACATATATCACCTCTTCCTTTTTCATAACAACTTGGCTTAGAGATTCATCACTCCCTTCCCTGACATCATCCTCTACCAATTCCTTCTCTTTGGTGAATACCACACAAAGTATTCAGTTAAGACCTCACCTAATGCTTCTGGCTCCACACATACATTCTCTCCTTTGTCCTTGAATGGGCTACCTTTCCCCAGCTCCCTAAGATTGAAAAGTGTGATTGAAGAAGCCTTAATTGTTGCATTGTGTCCAGTAATAGGGTAAATACTGTTGCCATTGTGCATTGGTTGTTGAAGGACAGCATCTTGGATGATGGTGGTTGGGTTGCAAATCATGCTGGCTGCTCTGCCTTGGATAATTAGGGTTGTTTGGCTGCACTCATTCAGGCAAATGGACACAATTCCATCAAATCCTGCCTAGTCAGTGTAGACAGGTTTTGGAGTGTCAAAAGGAGAATTGCTCAGTTAGATTTCCCACTCTCTGGCCTGCTCATGTGGCCGTGGTATTATCCACTGGTGGAGGTGCCTAGCACAAGGCAATATAGCCTTAAATTAGAGTCAGGCTGTTTCAAGTTAGGAAATAACTCTTTCTGTAAAGGCTTATAGATGTGAAAAATTCAGAATCACTGAAGTATTACAGCGAGAAGGTTATTTGTTCTTTCGTGGCTATGCTGACCTTCCAAATAACCAGATCACTTCGTGGCATTGTCCTACTTTCTCCCCATGACCCTGTGCATTCTTCCTTTTCAAGTAATTATCTATTCCTTCTTGAATACCTTGATTTAAAGGGCTTCTACCATATACATTGGCAGTACATTCCAGATCCTAACCAGAATCACAACAGTGTAACAGTGCAGGAGGAGGCCATTCAAACCAGTTCTTCAAATGAAATTCATTACCTTGTGCCAATCCCACACCCTTGCACATTATTTATATTCAAACAATCATCCAATATCCTTGTTGCATTAAAACATTTCCCTCGTATCACTTTTTGTTTCTTTTATTCATTACTTTAAATTTGTGCCCTCTCATTCTTCAGTTAATCATGAGTTTCTCTCTATCTATCTGCTCTGTATAGGCCTGTTTTTGAATACTTTTTTTCAGTTTGCCTCTCAGCCTTCTCTTCTCCAAGAAAGAGTCCCAATTTCTTCAATCTATTTTCCAACAAAAGAAATAGTAACTCAATTTGTAATTTTAAATATAAATTCAATCCTTTTTTCTTGGACAAGGATATAAAAACAGAGCCAAGGTCAGCGGTACAGGAATAAAAACACATCAGTCACGATTTTACATTGTAGCAGAGCAGGTTCAAGGGACTGATTGGTCTGGTCCTGTTATTATGTTCCTAACTATTCACTTGTCTCTTGAGTGGGTTATCTACCACTTGGCAAAAGACTGTCCTACCTGGTAATAGGTGTTGATGTCTTTTCCATTAGCAGTGAACGTCATGAGACCAGTAGCTAAATCAACAAGGCAGCCAACCTCCAGATCAACATTACTGCGGCTCGCTTGCTGGGAATTGCTAAATTCACCTCCCCAAACCATGTAACAGTTGCTGCGCTTGATACTGTAGAGAGAACAAATGTGTCAACAGTACAAAAATATACTGATATTGCTGCAAAAATGAACACCAGTATTACAATACATTGAATGGCCACACATTTAAGCATTAAGAAACTAAATTTGACACAAAAATTGTAGTAAAGGTCTGAACCAATTCCAAAATGAAACACACACCACACACACACGAATCTATAGGGTGAATTTGTGTTAGCAGATACATTCTATTTTGTTCAAAAAGCACACAATTAATAGACAGTCAATGTGGTGTTTGATAAATTCCTACTTGAGAAATAAAACCAATCTGACTCCAAACCAAAACACAAACAGATTCTAAACAAGGCCTCACACCTAACATGCATTGTCTGACCTAAAATGTCACCTCTTTTTTACAGTGAAAAACCTTTAGTTCTGTCAGGGCAGTGACTTGAAAGCAACTTGGGAATTTACATATACATATTAAACAATTAAAATCTTTTAACTGATTAAAGATTTAACAGCATCTTAGGTTTCTTTAATACATCCTCATCTGTGCTGTGAACCGTTGATCTTTTACTTACAAATTCTGTGTCTGATACCACCTCACTAACACCTGAAGGGGGAGCAAGGCTCCAAAAGCTTGTGTTTTCAAATAAACCTGTTGGACTATAACTTGGTGCTGTGTGATTTCTGACCTTGTTCATCCCAGTCCAACACCGGCACCTCCACCTCCACCTCCACAAAATGGAAGTAGTGAGAGGACCAGTCCCAGAGACACTCACTTCTCGATTGTCAAGTCATGCATTTACACTACAGCTGCATTATAATGCAAAATGAAACTGCTTCAAACTGATGTTACACTTCTGTTGTGAATGCACTGTCTGTTGGCCAGAGAGTTGGATTGAAAATAAATAGTACAAACTAATTTCGGTGGTCTCCATCCCTTTCAACCTATACACGTCTGCAGCAAAGAAAATCTACTTCCAGAACCTTGCACACAGTGAGACAATAATGAAATAGTATATGGTTAAGTACATTGCCCACATCAGATTATGTTTTAAGTAAAAAGGGGTGGCACAGTGGCTCAGTGGTTAGCGCTGCTGCCTCACAGCGCCAGGGACCAGAGTTCAATTCCATCCTCGGGCAACTGTCTGTGTGTAGTTTGCACAGTTTCCCCATGTCCGTGTGGGTTTCCTCTGGGCACTCTGGTTTTCTCCATTAGTCCAAAGATGTGCGGGCTAGGTGGATTGGCCATGCTAAGTTGCTCATAGTGTTCAGGGATGTGTAGCTTAGGTGGGTTATGGGGGATGGGTCTAGATGGGATACTCTGAGGGTCAGTCTAGACTTGTTGGGCTGAAGGGCCTGTTTCCACACTGTAAGGATTCTGTGATTCTATGTTTTGCATTGTAGTTTAGCTGTGCAGTATTCTGAAAAAGAATAAAGGATCCTTTCCTGCCATAAATTCTAACTGTAAGAAACAAACAAACAAACAAACAAACAAACAAACAATCTGTTCAATATGTCAATCTGCTCTTCATAGAATCACAGAATCCCTCCAGTGTGGAAACAGGCCAGTCGGCCCCATAAGTCCACACTGACTCTCAGACTCTCCCACCTACCTTATTTCTGTAACCCTGCATTTCCTATGGCTAATCCACCTAACCTACACATCCCTGGACACTATGGGCAATTTAGCATGGCCAATCCACCTAACCTGCACATCTTTGGACTGTGGGAGGAAACCCACGCAAATATGGGGACAATGTGCAAACTCCACACAGACAGTCGCCCAAGGGTGGAAATGAACCTGGGTCTCTGGCGCTGAGACAGCAGTGCTAACTACCAAGCCACCATGCTGCCCATACTGAGCCACTGTGCCGCCAGTGAGGAGTACTCATATTCCCTGACTGGGAATCGAGCCTGGGCAGCAGTGGTGAGAGCACCAAATCCTAAACACTGGACCATCAGGGAAGGTGCAAACTGGAGGACCCAGAGGGCGAATGCACAAAAACTCCACACAGACAGTTGCCCAAAGGTAGAATCGAACCCAGATCACTGGCGCTTTGAGATTGCAGTGCGAACCACTGAGCCATCATGCTGCTCGCTTTTCTTTGTTAGAAAGTTACTAGCTTAGAAATGGTTATCGACATATTCATTTACAAATGTCAACTTCAAGCCACTTTGATTCTATGTAGATCCAACTCATCGGCTCAGCCACTACTAGTACTTAAACTATAAGCACTTGTTTGAACTCTTGTGAGGTGACATTAGATATTAGGAGTTTCTCATGAATGATAGTGAACAGTTCAGAGATTAGAAGAATGAGGGACGATTTCATTGAAACTTCAGAATACTGAGAGGCTTGGATGTGGAGATATGTTTCCACCAATAGGAGAGACTATGACCTGAGGGCACAGTCTCAGAATTAAGGGACGACCATTAAGAACAGAGAGGAGGAGAAATTTCTTTAGCCAGAGGGTGGTGAATCTGTGGAACTCATTGCCGCAGAGGGCAGTGAGGCCTAGTCATCGAGTGTATTTAAGACAGAAATAGACAGGTTCTTGATTAGTAAGCAGATCAAGGTTACAGGGAGAAGGCAGGGGAATGCAGCTGAGAAACAGATCAACCATGATCAAATGGTAGAAGAGACTTGATGGGCTGGATAGCCTAATTCTGCACCTATATCTTATGGTCTTAAATCCTTGAAGTGGTGCTTCAATGTACAATAGATTAAACTGCTAAAATCCCAGTGATTGCATTCAAAAATAACATGCAAAGTGTTTAAAATTTGTAAATATTGCACAATATCAACGTTAAAAAAATGTGCTATGCTTGGTAAAATACAGGATTACACAGAATATACGGCACAGAAATAGGTCATTCAGCTCAAGAAGTACGTGACATGACAGCAGCAGTCCTTTATACCAAGGCTACATTTAAACAAGGATGGTATCAAGGAGCCCTAGCAAAACTGGAATGGTTTCAAGGGACATGAGGGGGCAAATTCTTGGTTGGAGTCATGCCTAACATAGGAAAATGGCTGTGGTTGTTGGAGATCAGTCATCTCAGCTGCAGGACACTTCTGCAGGAGAACTTCAGGGTAGTGTCCTAGACCCAAACATCTTTGGCTGCTTCCATCGTAAGGTCATAAGTATGCAATCGTCAACAAACATCCCCAATGTTCAGCACCATTTGTCACTCCTCAAACACTGAAGCAGTCCAGGTTTATATGCAATAAAACCTGGACATATCAAGGCTTGGGTGACAAGCTGCAAGTAACATCAGCACAACTCAAATGTCAGGCAAATGACCATCTCCAATGAGAGACAAATCTAACCACTGGTCCTTGACATTCAATGGTGTTTTCATGACTGAATCTCCCACTATCAACATCCTAAGGGTTACCATTGATCCAGAAACTCAACCTGACTTGAAACATAAACACAGTGGCTACAAGAACAGGTCAGAGGCTAAGAATACTGCAGCAAGTAACAACTCCTGACTCTCCAATGCTTGTCCACCATCTACAAGGCTTTTCAGGAGTGTGATGGAATACTCCGCACTTGCCTGGATGGCTACAGCTCCAACAACACTCAAGACGTTTGACACAACCCAGGAAAAAGCAGCCCACTTGATTGATACCCCATCCACAAGCATCCACTCCCTCCACTACTGATGCTCAGATGTAGCCGTGTGTACTATCTACAAGATGCACTACAGAAAAGCACCAAAGATCCTTCAACAACAGCTTCCAAACGCACAGCCACTTCCATATAGAAGGTCAAGGGCGACAGGTAGATGGGAATACCGTCACCTGCAAATGGCCGTCCAAGTCACTGACCATTTTTGGAGGCGATAGCCTAGTAGTGTTACCATTAGGCTAATAATCCAGAGACCTAGATAAGCTGCTGGGGACCATGGCAGATGGTGGGATTTGAATTCAATTTGACTCTCAGCTGCTCTCTGGGCAATTAGGTTGGCAATGAATACTGGTGTGGCCAAAGACATTCCCATCCTGTGAATGATTTTTAAAAAAATTGCTGCTCCTTCACTGTCGCTGAGTCAAAAATCCTGGAATTCCCTCCCTAAGGGCACTGTGCGTCAACCTACAGAAAGCTGACTGCAGCAGTTCAAGAAGGCAGCTTACCACCACCTTCTCAAAAACAACTAGGGTGGCCAATAAATGCTGGCAGCCAGTGAAACCCACGCCCCACGAGACAACACAGAAAATGAGCCACGGTCTATGTTCCACTCCAGCGTCATTCCATTCTTCATCATCTAAAATCTACTACAGCAATTCTATTCTCCCTCAAATGTTCACCCATTTCCCAATAATTGCATCTACGTTATGCGCTTCAACCACTCCCTGCGGTAATGAGTCCCACATTCTCACCATTCTTTGGATTTCTTGGTAGTTATATTATAGTGATGGCTTATGAAGACAACATTCTCCCTGCATCCACTGTCAAAACTTCAATTTTAAAGACTTCTATTAGGACAATCCTCAGTCCTTTTCTTTCCAAGAGAGAAGGAACCCAGTCTGTTAATCCTTTCCAGATATAGTGGCCTACGCATTTCTGGTATCATCTGATGTAAATCACCGCATCATACGCTCCACTTCTTTCATATCCTTTTTATTGCATCGGGTCAAATGAACCTATAATACTGCAATATTGATTACATTTTCAACATAGATTGTTGCAGTAAAATTCTGCAATTCCATTGGAAGAGTTTACCAGAAGGATCCATTTACCTGGGTACATAATTCCTGCCTGAAAAGAACTACTTTCTAATCAGATGCTGCACTTTCATACATTATTTAGGTTTCATGGTTGGAATTCTAAGAAATGATAAGACAAGTTTTGCATTTTTGGTTTATAATGTTTCTCAATATTGTACTAACTTTTTTGATAATCCAGATCTTTGCCATTTTAATTATCCCATTAATAATCCTCTTTCCTCAATATATAGCTCTCAAATTTGGTTAAATAGTCTTCTTGGAGTAACATTTTTTCAACAGCATAATTTTTTCACCTTTTCATCAATTTTAAAAGTAACAGGCAAATATTTTATTACATCTCCATTTCTTCAGACATTAATTTGACATTTAATTGGCTATATCATTTCACATCATTTGTCACTTGCATTACTAATGTAGTGCAATGACACAATTACTCCAAGTATAAAATGTGCTAATAAAGTAGATGTTATAGGAAACAATTATAGACATTGATTTTAACTTTTCCATGTTATTAAATATGTAACTTATTCAAACTAGTCATTGAGAAGGGGTGGGACTAAAAGAGATTAAAATTTATATCTGTTTGCAAATCATGAATCGCAAAGTATTGGTAGTTTAAAATGAGTTGATTTATAAAAACTGAATATACTAACTTAAATACCTGTCATGGACTTTGCCTTGATCATCTCCCACTGAGACAGTTACTGTGCGAACTTTAGTTAGATCAAAATTGCCATCATGTTGATGAAAGTCAGGGGTTACCCAACCAACCCACACTCCTCCTGGTTCCTGTCCAGCAAATATTCTCACAGAATAGTAATACTGTCAAAAGAAAGTACCAAAATTAGAAACAAGAAATACCAGATTAGGCTTTGTCACAGCTGTTTGTTATCATATAGGTGAGGTATAGAATGATCTACTGTACTGTATCAATTGATACAGTAGATCTACTATACAGTAGACAAGCAACTGCACTCACTTTGCACCAGAGTTATTAAAGCGAATTGAATAAATCCGACAATTTGTGGGATTACACCAGGAAACACTGGCTAATATCTTCCACAGATACCTTTAAAGATTTTTGCTTAAATCAACCTGTTCAGACATGTTCTGACACACCTTTGGAATAAGTGGTACTTGAACCCAGGAACTTCTGGCACAGAGATAGGTACACTATCACTGCACCATGAGATCATGTGCATTCAAACACATGTGACAGTTCTGTAAACCTATGCAGTGGTAAATTGTCACAAATGGCTCACTGCCACTACCCCTCACAGGGCAACTAGGGGCAGCAAATAAACAGTCTACATCCCTAACTAAAACAGCTGGAATTTCCAGGTCCACATTTTCTCTCAAAATTTATGACTTTCACTTTGACATGGGAGCACACTATTCAAACATACTGGCAGCTCAAAAAGACGGAATTTGAAAAATATCAAGTTGGACATAAATAATCATAAATCAATTAATGGAATAGGTGGAGAACTTTTTTTGCATTTAATATGACAAAGTTATACTTTCAGAAGGACAAACAAACAGTGATATGTCATTGTCATTTTGGGATTCAAAATACAAATACAAAGCACAGGAACAAAGTGGTATTGATAAATTTATTCAAAGCAATACAGCTAGCTCCAGTTAAAGTTCTTAGTGCAATTTAGGCACTACATTGTAGAAGGGGCCTTAAAAATCACAGCTTGAATTCACCAATCTGAAAATGTTAAAAACTTCAGATTGGTTAAAATTTTCTTTAGTACTTGAAATCTTGAATTACATTTATTTAAATTATGTCCACACTCATGGGGAGAAATAAATAGCAACAATTTTGAATGAATAGTTAATTTTGCTGACAGTGTTCTGAGAGATTGCAAATAATATCTTCATGTTCTTTAGTTGGCACAGGGAATTTTGAGGGAGAGAGCACTGCAGTTTATAAAGGAAAAAGTGGGCAAGCATTTGTGTAAAAGAAGATACAGAGACAGTGCAGCAGAGGAATTAGTTTTGGATTGCTCTGTAAAGATGTCATAATCATTTGATGTCATAAATAAGTATTTGGGCATTTTAAACAACTTTGTACATCGATCACAATATTTGCTGCCTTGCTTACAAATGATTTGTAACTTTAGGAACTTCTATCCCTCAGTCAATAGCTTTGAATTAAATGGGTTTAGTTGTTTCTGCCATTTTGTAGCTGTTTTACTGTTTGCACTTGATCATTTACCGTTGTTGTGTTCAAAATAATCTCAGGGTCATCCCTGTCATCAGGCACAACATCCTCCATCAGGCGAGGGACAGTCGGTATAACTGGAGGCGGAGCAATAAAGGCAGGTTTCTTTTTGAATAGGAACCTAAAATATGGCAAACATAAATGAATCAGACTAAGAAGCAGGTATTCAAACTTTAAACACCAATCACTGATAGTTAAAGATAAACTCTCTCTAAAAAAAAGCCTCTTCATCAATCCAGAATATTCACAGCCACATATCCTTTAAAATGATAAAAGCATTGGGGAGTGCTTTTGCATTCAAAAATACAACAAAAACTTCGTTTGACCTTTTTGTTTTAACAATTAGGTCCTCTCTTTAGTATGGAAATCTCAGAGATCAGATATCCCTGATTTTTGATGGACAGGGGAGTCTAGTATTATCAGCAGCCAGCAGGGGTAGGCAGGAAAAAGTGGAGGTGACCCATAACCAGATCAGTCCTGATCTTATACAATGCTCGAGTAGGCTTGAAGGGCCAAATGGCTTCCTCTTGCTCCTAATTCTTATGGCCTTACATTTTTTGGCAGGTCCCTCCATGGTATCATCAAGCAATAGCAACGCTGGTGCTCTGGTGGAGAGGTGTAGACCATCCAAAAGGTAAGGAAAGGAAACCTTATACATATGCCCTCCAGCTCAAGGAAAATACCTTTAAAAAGGTAAAACCTTGTCAACATACCTTCTATCTCAATAAAGTAGCAGGGCATTTCCCAGTCTTTCTTAGTTTTTAAGATATATTTGGTATCATGTGTTTCCGGTTAAAAATGGTACATATACATATACGGTACACGCGGTGCATACGATGTTTTATGAATTTTCAAAGGGATTAATAAAATATATTTCAGAAGAGACTTCTGGCAAAGCTAAATGCACAGAAAATTAAGGGGATAGTGCAGATAGAAATAAGGCTGAAATATAGAAAGAAGGTAGGGACAAAGAGAAGATTCTCAGGCTGGAAAGATAATAGCATTCCACAGGTATGGTAAATGCAAAGTTCCATAGTCCTACTGGACCACAGGGCTGCTCTCAGGCTAGGTGAGAGGTTGTGAAGGAGTGTCCTTCTTATAACCTTAGCTGGTGCAGGAATTGAACCCATGCTGTCGGCATTACTCAGCATCACAGACCAGTTATCCAGCCAACTGAGCTAACCGACCCTTTATTATGGGTATAGAATATGGAGCAACAAAATGTAAAATTTGCTGATGGCATTAAATTGGGAAGCAATATGGCACATCGTGGCGAAGATTTTGAAATTTGTGGGCTTTTCTTCTGGAATCACATCTAAAATATAACCTAATATGCTAGCCCCTGCAACCAACATAATAAAAGTAAACAAAATCTGCTGGCAACTGGTACTGGTTCTAATGCTTGGGATTTTCTCAGTAAACATTTTAACCCACCCCCCCACACCACAGAGTTCAGACATACAAACCTTGATTTTGGTTTACTTTTCTCAGAGGAGGAATCCTTGTCATTTTCAGTCTTGGCCAACTCCTTGGGTGCTTCCTTAGGGGCATCCTTTTCATTGGTCGGTGTTTCAGTTGGTGTCCGACTAGCTGATTTTCTCAGAACTTCAAACTCTGAATCCACGTCAATATCTTCAACTTCTTCTTCTGGAATTGTCATTCTGGTCAATGGTGTAGTGCCAGGGGTGCACTTGAATGTATCATGGAACTCAACGGGCAGGCTGAGGCGCAAGAACAGCATGTCAGTATTGCTGTTCTGAGACCCAAGTGTTTTATGAGAAACTTTCAAGCAAGGAGGGCTGTCAACTGTTCCATCAATTCTAGTAACCTGCAAAAATAAAGATTCACTTTGTAAGACTGAATACTCCACAACCACAATCAAGGGAACCAATATCACAATACATGTACTGCTGAGAAAAGACATTATTTTGTCAAAGCTTTGCATTTTGCACTCAGAACAATTTTTTTTTTATTATTCATGGGATGTGGGTGTCATTGGCTGGGCCAGCATTTATTACTTATCCCTAGCTTCCACTGAGAAAGTGATTGCGAGCTGTCTTCTTTAACTGCTGCAGTCCATGTGAAGAAATATACCCACAATACCATTATGGAGGGAATTTCAGGACTTTGATTTGGCAACAATGAAGAAGCAACGATATATTTCTAAGTCAGGATAGTGAGTGGCTAGTTTGGAGAAGAACTTTCTGTTCTGATGGTGTTGCCATGTGTCTGCTCCCTCGTCCTTCTAAATGGTAGTGGTTGTGGGTTTGGAAGTTTCTGTCTAAGATGCTTTGGTGAATTTCTGTAGAGCATCCTGCAGATGTACATGCCCACAACTGATGAGTTTTGGTTGTGGAGGGATCGACTTTTGTGGATGTGGTGCCAATCCAGTACGTTGCTTTGTCCTAGATGATTTCAAGTTTTTTCAGTGTTGTGAAAGCTGTACTCATTCAGGCGAGTGGGGAGTAGTCCATTGCAATCTTGACTTGTGCTGTGCAGGTGGTGCTTTGGAGAGTCAGGAAGTGAATTACTCATTGCAGTGAGCAGACCTGGTCCATTCTCCATGCCAATGCTTTTACCATGTCAGAATGCACTTGCCATCCAATCAGCACTCTCTTCTCATACAATATAAATGTTGTTTCTTCTTTACGCTGGTATTTCTTGCAAATTTGTCTTGATGAATGCCAAATGAAAACATCTGAAAATGTATTTTTGTTCAGCAATACGCAAGTTTTGTACTCCCATACAACGAAACTGGTCACCTGATACGATTAATTTTAATCGGCGCTCAGGGCACATTTCAAAATAGAAGGCTTGTTTTTAAAACAAACTTCACATTTAATTAATGGATAATACCCAGCTCCAATGAGATTGACTAATCGGAACTTTTAGGATTGTACCTACATATATTCATATTTACTCCATAAAAAGTACATAGAATCATAAGCCAATATAAAATCGGGGAACAACAGCACTGCAATGTGTCAGAGAAAGATTAAAAACACTACACTGTGGAAATTACAAAACAGAGTTAAGCTTTTTGATCCAATAAATTAGTTATTGTATTTATATTCCATTAAGTCTTTGTCCTTAATCTCCTGTGCCTGCTGTTTTCCCCATTTCTTTTATTTCCCTTACTTTCAACTGTATATCTAACCTATTCTCAATTCTAACATGCCTTATGCCTCAATAACTAACTCCAATAGAGCATTTCAACCCCTGTGTAAAAAACGATTTCCTCTAATCAGCCTCTATTTTAATGAAAATAGCTTCATTATTTCAAATCCTCTCTCATTCCAGGCAGCTTTCGTGTGGTAATTGTAAAAGAACTGGTAGAAACATAACTAGATCGTATGCTGGACTTAAATTGCCCTAAAAATGTCCTCATCCCCAATCCAGAGAATAAAATGGCAGAGATGAAAATTAGCATTACATTCAGATCGCTCATTGATTAGAAGCGCTAGCCTGGATACCTCCTGGGACAGGTTACACATCCTGGAAGATGGGAATTGACACATAAGGCAGACATCTGGATTTCCTCTCAACTCCACAGCAAGCACCTCCTGCCCCTGAATACACCTCTCTTGGAAGCTGGCTTGATTTACAGATGGGGGTGGGAAGTACTTCAGAGCTGACTGTAGGACCAGGTAGGCTCTATTCCAGACCCAGGGCTGTGGGTCTCCAGTGCAATTCACTCCAATTGGTTTGTTTCCTGAACATCCATGGACCTTTATAACCATGAGGTGAAGGTGTGTTGGCATGGTGGTGGTTGGGGGGGTGGGGGTAGGATTCCTACTCCTAGCCTACAGGCGTGGTCTTTCAAATTGGGTGGGGCGGGCAATGGCTAGTGGTATTATCATTGGACTGTTAATCCAGAGACCCAGATAATGTTCTGGGGATCCGGGTTCGAATCCTGCCATGGCAGACGGTGGAATTTGAATTCAATAAATAGCTGGAATTAAGAATCTAATGATGACATTGTCGATTGTCAGGAAAAACTCATCTGGTTCACTAATGTCCTTTAGGGAAGCAAACTGCCATTCTTACCTGGTCTGGCCCACGGCGATGTGGTCGATTCTTAACTGCCCTCTGAGCAATTAGAGATGAGCAATAAATGCTGCCTAGCCAGTGATGCTCTCATCCCGTGAATGAATAAAGAAAAAAAGCCTTTGATTCAGTTACAGTTTTGGCCTGAGGCTTGGGCCCACTTTGCGTGCTGATATTATAACTGACCACACAGCTTAAATCAAAGCTGTCACCCTAACGAACATACCCAAGATCCCAACTTGCTTACTGCGAGCAGAATGGCTACTCGCACTTTGTCCCAGCTTCACAAAACCCAGAAGTTAGCAGGCTGGAACTGGCTTCCAAAAATGTTTGGACTTTTCACCGATATAACTCTCCTACTTGCTACCATACGCTCGCCCCATTTTAATAATCCTCTCTTCAATCTTTCTACAAATACCACCCAACATGCCATATGTTTCAGCATTTTTATTTTTCTCACTATTTATGCATGAGATGTGGACCGCTGACAACGCCAGCATTTGGTGCCTATCCTGAATTGTCCTTTGAGAGCAGTTAAAAAGGTCAATCACATTACTGTTGGTCTGGAGTCACATTTACGGCAGATTGCCTTCCCTGAAGTGAAGACCATTAGTGAACCTGATGGAATTATTTCATGACAACTGATGTTAGTTTTATGTATACCATCAATGGAAATAGCTTTCAATTCCAGAACTTTTTTGAAAAAATTAACTGAATTCAAAATTTCATTAGCTGCCATGATGGGATTTGAACCGGTGTCTGCAGAGCATTAGCCTCGGCCCCTGGATAGAATATCACCATTACACCACTGTCTCCTCAATTATTCCAATTATTCAATATCTTTCTGTAGTGTGAAACTCTAAACTGCACTCAGTATTGGAGGCCCAATAAAATTTTGATTACTGTCTATCGTTGAATCACTAGTAGTTTATACCACTCACACTTCACAATTTCTTTTACTTTGAACCTTACCTCAACATGACTGTGGTCAGTGGGAACTGGAACAAACTGAGGCAAACTTTTGCTGAACCACATTGTGATGGGCCGTTTCATATTTACAGCGAAGGGTTCAAAGCCTTCTTGCAAACCACATATGGTGAAATACCTCAGGCTACTAACGTCTTGGCCCAGGTTAATACGTCCGACTTGAGAAAGGCCCAGGCTGCACACAGGAACGAACCCTGAAAAGGCACATCATGTCAAACACAACATGGAAATGAAACCAAAGACAAAATAATCAGGCAGGTTGGCACCAGGGAGATACCTGCCACTTCACTGTTGCCTCAGAAATTCATTTCTGGATGGGAGACCATAGTCAAACTCCCTGACATGCCACCTATTAAGGCCCTTAAATAGTCAATTAATGACCACTTAAGGGCCACATCAACTGCAGTCAGTTAAGTGGAGCTGGGGCCATAAACAGATCAGCTGTAATCTTACAGAATAGTGGAGCAGGATTGAAGGGCCTCTCCAGTTCGTCTGCTTCTAAGTTAACGAGAATGTGAAAGGAAAACCATAAAAAAGCCTTGAAACTCAAAAGGTAGCCTTCAAAACAAAAATCTCAAGAGCAGCGCCCACCCCCCCCCCAAATATTGTTAACCATCCTACAAAATGCATGCTTGCCTAACAATGCAGATCCACAAATTACCAACTGTTACTGAATGTTGTTACATTTTTATAGGTGCTATTATAGCTTGCTACATCATCCACCTCAAAGCAGCTACACACAGTTGGAGGAACCCAGATCCAAGCCATTAGCCATCTTTAGAGTAAATCCTTCTCTGCATCTTTCCAGTTCCCAGGCAAGAACTCACCATCGCCTATTTCAATGTCTTTGAAAGCCAACTCAGAGCCAGAGTCTCTGATGAGCATCTCTCCATTAAGTGTGAACATGATGTTCATTTCATGTAGGTCAATCATACAACCAACCACATCACCCGACTGCCACGTACGGCCAAACGGTTCACTCCCTACATGCCAGCGCTGACCCTGCAGCATAAAACATTCACAAAGAGCAAAAGGAAAGTTAACACCATAGATGATAATGTGAGCTTCAGGCCAGCTTGAAGCTCATTTGGATGCAGTTTTCACAAGCTACTAACAGATTCATTATGAACTGAAAATTATAAAACTAAACTTAATGGTTCACGGCAAGCAAAGATTTGCTGAATATTTTCCTTTGCCTCAGTACAATGCTGTCCTTGAGAGTATTGAAAGTAATGACCATCAGCTAAGGCAACTAGATACCAATGATAATGCACATATACAAAGGAACTTATGAAACCAATGTTTAGAATAATTGTGCCATATGTCTAACAAATATTTATTTAAAAATACTTAAAATAATCAGCAGCAGCCTCTGCTACTATGTATTACTTTGTTTTGTACACAGCTAATTAAAAGATAAAGTTTAGGTTAAGGCCAAGCTAGACGTCTTAGTGAAGTATGAAATCCACCAGTGCGTGCATTCGCTCACTGTCCAATGATCATTTCTGGAGAAAGTATACCAATGAGACGTAGTCATCAAGTTTGGCTAAAATGTTCTAAAATTTTAATTTTATATTTATCATCTCACAGAAACAGCATGGCGAGAGAGGGCTTCCACTGTCATGTAACCATACCAAAGACAGCGAGTGGAGAATTGGAAGAAGAAAATATAACAAACCTTAAATCCATTAAAAACAAAAGCAAGATCATCAGCTCCTAATGGTAGATCAGGCCTGCACTCAGGTCGTGCCCATCCTACTCTCATTTCTCCTACAGTCACAGCTTCAAACTCAAAGTACCATTTGCCACTCTTCACTGCATATGACTTCTCAGCACGGAAGAGCCGAACCTTTCCATTCCGACTTATACCTGGGACATGGGCAGCTAGCAGAACAAAACACAAACAGGAGGATTAAAAGATAACCTTTATTTTTAAATGCAGCAGCGCTTTAACATGATTTAAAATAAAGGTAATAAGTGCTAATTTTTTAGTTCCCTATATATATATAGTCAGTAATAGTGATAAGGCTCCTGTGATTAATCCAATATTCGCTATGTATGCAAACTGCTTTTCTCTACTTTCCTCCGAGCCGCTGGAAGTTGAATGAGGGGGTGAAAGAGGGGTTTGAAACTTCTGTACCTGAGCAGAAGCATTTAACATAACGGCTATATGTGGATTCGGTTAAAAGGTAAGCTATAACATTTAAGAAATTTACTTTTATTATAGAAGGGTAACAGATATAAAGTGGACAATTGTGTAATTTGCGAAGAGCTATTAAGACTGTTGATCTGGAGCTCTCAGAAACAGAATTCACAATGTGATCTCAATACACCAACAAATATCTGAAAATTAAGCAAAAATCAGAATCTGATTAACAGAAACTGTAAAACAATGGCCCTGATAATGAACAGCTAGTGTATTTTAATTCCACAGCAATTCCACACAGTATTCAAACACATTCACAATTTTTCCTCAATTTCACCAGAAAGAGATTTTCAACACTTCTTTATTTGCCTTCTTTTCTGTAACCAATTGACAGTTTTGGCAGCACAAAATGAAATGAATTTTCATATTATCCCACCATTGCTTTGTACTAATTTGCCTTTGAACAAAAAAGGTTTTCCAGCCTTTGACCAAAAATGTTAAAAAAAGGAAAAAAAAAAGTTTGTTACTGATTTCTACAGTTAATTTTGTACAAAGTTTGCACCTAAAAATTATTTGAATGAGTCAAGTACATCCTTTTGTAGGTACAAGTATAATAAGCAAAAATTGTACAGTTTTTCAAGTAATGCTAATTTACAGTTGGACAATGTATTACAGAATTTTCCAGTAGTCACTACAGCCATGACCAATTCATTACTCATGGTAGATGATTATCAAACCGAATGATTCAGATTTTAAGTTTACATACTGGCTTCTTGATCTGGGGGTTCAATATTGTAGCCATAACCAATTAGGGTTCGGACAGCCTCATTCAAACTGTCTCTGTTTGTTTTCTTAGTACGTTCGTCCAGAAGGTTGTATGGTACAAGGCGAGGATTTCTTTTGTTGCCAATATCCTGTAAGCACAAAAGTAGTAAAAATATTTTGCTGAAAATGGGAAGCTTATTAGATCTGAACATTTTCATTTATAATGCAAGTGGTGTTGCTGAACACTACAGCTCTCTCAGAATAGTATTATTTCACGTCTTAACACCAAATTAGAAACCAGTAAAAGGTTGATGCTCTCTCAGTAATTAAGTCAGGCTTCTCAGGGTCCACGAAAATCTGGCCCATAGTGGTGCATTTGCCTTTGAAATGGCTTGCCTTCTGAGAAGGGTCTGGTTCTGAATCTGTTAAAGCCAGAACTCAATCGGATCAAGACAGAATAAGGCTGTGTTTGAAATTTTTAGAATTATACTACAACATGGATTCACCAACTATTTTTGGCTCAAAAATTCTCCCCAATGGACGCCGGACAATCATTAAGATTGAGCAGACTGATGATTCTTCTCTTTAGCGAAGATTATTCAAAATCTTTATAGTAGCATTACAGCTACAGGTCTGCCTTCAACACCATTATCCCCTCCAGACTGATCTCAAAACTGCACGGCCTTGGTTTCGGCTCCACTCTCTGCAGTTGGATCCTTGGCTTTCTGACCCATAGGCCTCAATCAGTGAGAATGGGTAACTGCACCTCCTTCACAATAACACTCAACACTGGAGCCCCCAAGGATGCGTTCTCAGCCTTGTACTCCTTGTACAACTACGACTGTATTGCCAAATTCCGAACAATACCATCTACAAGTTCACCTGACCGACACCACCGTAGTGGGATGGATATCTAACAACACCAAGTCAAAATACAGAAAGGAGATAGAGGGCTTGGTGACGTGGTGCATTAAAACAAACTGTCTTTCAATATCGGCAAAACTAAAGAACTGATCATCAACTTCAGAAAGAAAAGGAGAAGAACACGTCCCCATCTACATCGACGGAACTGAAGTTGAGAGCGCGAAGAGCATCAAGTTCCTCAGAGTGACGATAACCGATGACCTGTCCTGGACTTGCCACGTAAATGCGACAGCCAAGAAGGCACAACAATGCCTCTTCTTCCTCAGGTGGCTCAGGAAATTTGGCATGTCCATAAGGTCCCTCACCAACTTCTACAGATTCACCATTGAAAGCATACTGTCCGGGTGCATAATAGCCTGGTATGGCAACTGCTCTGTCCAGGACCATAGGAAACTACAGAAGGTGGTGTGCACGGCCCAGACCATCAAGGAAGCCAACCTTCCATCCCTGGGCTCCATTTACACAGCTTGCTGCCGCAGAAAGGCTGCCAACATCAAAGACCCATCGCACCCTGGTAATGACCTCCTACAACTTCTTCCAAATCGGGCAGAAGATACAAAAGCCTGAACACATGCACAAGCAGGCTCAGGAACAACTTTTTTCCGGCCATTATCATACTGTTGAAACACAATCATTCAATTATCCATGCACTCTTAAGATGTCAAATACATGTCTAGCCTTTTACCTGCAAAATACTGTATGTCCATCCTTGACGGATGCGGTCCCTTGCCCAGACGTTATGACCATTTTCAGCCAATTTGTCCACCAGAGTATTTTGAGCAGGAGTTAGTTTGATATGGGAAAGGTCAAGCGGAGCAGGCTTGTATCCATTTGACATCAGATACCTTTTGGAAAAATGGAAGAGCTTTTACTTAAAAAAAAAAAATGAATTGATGCAGAGAGAATACAGCCCCATTGATGAAATTCATTTTAGTCACTTGTACTACAATTCCTATGTACATTATTACTTTTATAGGTACTAACCCTTATATTTGCAATATATTTACACTGGTATAAAAATAGCAAAAATATGAATGAATGAATGAAGTGTACTGTATGTCTATACATTGAACTTGGCAGATTGACAGTTCAACCCTTAGCTAGAATCACTCATGCAGATTCACTTAAAGGTGGGAAGTCAGCACATATTTCTTTCCCGAAAATAGTTTGATGATCAAATTCTAACTAAAATACATCATTTTATGTCAACTAAACATGCCTATGTAATCTAAGAGCCTTGAAGTTATCGCAGTGATGGGTTCAAAATAAACAAAAGTGGCAGCCTCCCATCTTTTAAGACTATGCCTTGTGCCATGGTGGTAAATTTTGTTAAGCATCATCTGATGTGACTCAGGAGCCTGACTCTAGCATGGCAGTCTTTGCTGCTGCAGAGGAAGACAGTGGGTGAGAAGATGCACAATTTGCTGGCCTCTGATTTTGCTGGGATTCTTATCAGCCAACTGAGCTTTCCATTTTGCTCCCTTCTTTCTTTCCAAATAGTCAGCATCCAAAGCGTATTACCACCAACAACTGACTCCCAGTTTCACTGTCAATGTTAATGTCCACTATCTTCATGTCTCATTTGCAGGAGTCTTCATAACAAATGATTAGATGCTCAGATAGTCACAACCCTGTGGCTGATCCACTATAAAGAAGCTCTTCGGGAACACAGTTGCATAGAGCAGATGAATGCAGCCAAACCAGTACAGGCATTGTTATTTTAGCAACGAGTGTATGCTGAGGAAATCAAAATTTTCCAGGACCTATGTGTTACTGACTCGGCCCTCTCAAAAAGTGCTGAGGACATAACAGAGAGAGCTAAAGGTGGAAACTGTTTAAGTTGTTTGCCTACCTAACAAATATTGTCCAGGTCTCATCGCTGTAGAGATGTGCACTGAGGACACAGATTTAGAAGACTCAGTTTCACATTCTCAGGCAGGTAGCTACACAATTTTGCAAACTCTTATTCAGCCTAGACAAAACAGCTGCAGCTTTTCCAAAGTGTGCATTGACTTCAGCAACGAATAACAGATTTCTGGGGATTGTGGAGCCTAGGTACGTCATAGCTATCAACAAATGCCAGCATCACAGTGAAAATGTTGATGGCCTTGAGTTTTGTCTTCCTGATGCTGATGGGCAAACCAAACTTTTACAGATACATTAGAGTCTGTTTGCAAAGGCATTCCTTGGTATGAAATGCTTTTTGTGGTATCATCAGCATAGATCTTGATGAGGTTACGGCATGCCTTTAGATCTCAAACAGAAGGTTGAACAGGTTACTGTGAATTCTGATGCAGACATCGTCTGTACACGAACTGAAGGTATACTACAGCAGCAAAGAGAGGAACATGCCAAAATGTATTGGCGGTAGAACACAAACTATTTGACCAAACTGCAGCTCTTAAAGGGCTCAGGTGTTGCTCCATCACTGTGGACCTTACCCAGCAAGTTGTAATGGAAAGCCATCAAATTGAGTGGCTGTGGCAGGCAACCAATGTTCTCCGGTCGCTTAACTACAGCACCTTTACTCACATGGTCAAATGCCTTTGTGAGGTTGATCAAGGCAATACACAGTGGCTTCCTGTGCACACAACATTACTCTTGCAATTGCTAGACTAAGAAGATCAATATGATCCAATATGATCAATACAATTATAATAGCACATAAATTAGTACAACTTTGCAAAACCAATTTATTGATAAATTGTGATTTTCAAAAAAACCCAAAGCATTCTAGCCAATTATTAGCTTTTCACATTCACACTTGTGCTTTAAAGCACAAGTTAATGTCAGTATTTCAGATGAAACTCCCACTGAGACTGGAAGCATTTATATGAACCAGTCAGATCAATTGGAGGACAAAGTAAAAAAGCTGTCAGACCTAATCAATTTGTTGTTAGCTTCTAGACTTATTGGTTGCACATGTTTAAGAGAAGCCAATTTTCTTTTTGTGAAAGTTACATTGTTAAATGACTCATTTTAGACTCTCAATTCCTGCTAAGCCTGCTTACCATAAGGGTGGTTGTTGGACGGATTGGCCAACAACAAAAAACCAAATGAGGGAGTGGAGAAGAGGTAAGGAAAGATCAAGGGGAGACGTTTGTCCAGGGAGGGGCTAGATTTGATCAATCTGGGATATAAAGCTAGTTTCAGTAACATGACCACTACCAGTGTTGTAATAACTCATCTCTTTCTGTAATAGCTTTTAGAAAAAAAAACAGCTATCCTTATCTGATCTGGCCGACTGTGATTCCAGGCCCTTAACAATGTGGTTGACTCCTAACTGCCCTCAAACTGCCAAGGAAACCACTCAGCCCACATCCCATGGAAGAATAACTTAAACAAACAGGAAGTGTGTACAAATATTCCTTAAACACCATGGACTGCTGAGGGAAATAATTCTTACTTCATGTGGACACATCAGTTCACTCTCTGGCTCACCATGTTGGATTCAAACCATGCAAATAAAAGTTATAAATACTTAACAGTCTATGAAAAAAATACAAAACCTACGATTTGGCCAGTTTAATTTTCTTCAGGTTCTCTTCTGCCTTTTCATCAGCCATTCCAACATGGCAACCCAGGGCTAATAGTGTTCTGAGGGGAGATGTTTAAAGAAAATCAGTTTTTAAACATACATCAAACAAGCCGGAGCATGATCACATCGGGCAATTAGAACTGATGGTACTTACTTCAGAGTTTCACCTGACATTTGTAAGTTGTAGTTTCTCTCAGCCTCAGGTAGTTTGTTAAACTCCACCAAACAAGGATGCAGTTTCTTGTTGTCATCTCGAATCTACAGGTAAATAAACACAATGAGTGGTCTCATGGTTAATTCCATTGTGAGAAAAATCTGCTGTAGCAGTACGTATTGGAATAAAAGAAACACACCCTAATGTGCTTCCAACTTTAAAACATGTGAACAATTAAGTGCTAATAAAATTTTAATCATCTGAGATAAAAACTCTGTCTTCACACTGGGGATAACATGATTTCACAATAATATTAATATAATCATCTGTAGAATCCATTCAGAATACATGTTTTCATTAGTACAATTTGGGTTATGATGCTGCTGTTTTTTTGGGCTGTTATTAAACAGTTGATACAGCAAGGTGCTACAATTCCTTTCTGTCTAAGTTCCAGATGCTGGGGCTATAAATGGGGTTTGTTAAACATCTTTAATGAGTGGGATAAGAAGTTGTAGAAAACTGCTTTTCAATTACTGTATCATACTGGATAGATCAAAATTTAGGGATTTTTCATCATCTCACATATCTATCCTGATGGTTTAATTGATTACAACAAATAACAAAGATTCTGTTGTAGGAATATTACATAAGAAACTTCTAAATTAGGCCACGTCTTCTCAGTCTCGACTCGAAGCTAATCTTTTTCCCAAAAATTATTGGCCCACAAATCAGTCAACAATTTTCAGTTTCACCACCGATTCTAGCAGTTTACTTTCAGGAATACTTACTCGGACATTAACACTTTTAGTATATAATTAGTTCTTACAGTTGAGACATTATAATTAAAAAGACTATTCTTACTATTCCATACGTCCAACCCAACTCAATCTTTGTCAAAGACCAAAGTTCATGGATGTTTTCAGCTAATTTCTCTCGTATCCTCTCCAGATGAGGTGGTAGGACAATCTAGATAAAAGGAGAAAAGGAATACTTACTGAAATTAAGCCTTATTTTTATGACAGTGGAAACCACATTTCCTCAAAAATAACTTATAAGTAGTTAACACGGAATTTAATTATTTCATTAAAAATATAAACCACCACAGTGATACTGAATCATCAACTGGGGCAAGGAGAGACGAAGTATTGTGTAGTTTTGCTAACTTCTCAGGGTCACTAGCTTCAAGTGAATTATGAGAAGCTACAGGAATATGACTTAATCAACTTCTCTGAACTGAAGCAGATATTAAAAATACAAAATAAAAGAAACATCTGAATTCAGAAACTGCAGACAAATCTATCCATGGCTTCCAGAGCTTTTGTTTCCCAATGGCAAGAGACGTCCACACCACACAGGTGCCAGGCAATGATTATATCAAAGAAGAAAAAAAAATCTAACCATCTATCCTTGACATTCAACAGCATTACAATTATAATCTACATCCCAAGGAAGAAAATTAAATTCTAGCCCCTGGAAACCCCTAAGGTAAATTTAGATATATAACGCAGTACATTATGAGACGTCTGGAGACAGATTTTCCACTGGTCAGACAGTTGTAATGCGAGCATAGTTGTGAGTTTCACACATTGTACATTTGAAAGAATTACCTGGGAAGTTGAATTTTCCGCTGGGTAATTCCACTATGCCTGGAACCCTATGAAAGTCTCATTAGAAATTGGCGACTGTGGATGTTTCCAGTGAAATTAAAGAATAGTTACTCAGGAAAAATTAGCTAAATACATAGTTATCTCTCACACACACACACACACACACACACACCTCCCTCTCCCCAAAGGCTAGGTATCCTAACCATCTGGCACCCTTACCCGCTTCCCAACAGGTACCCTAATCACCTGGCACCCTTACTCCCTTCCCAACAGATAGCCTAACTACCTGGATAGCCTAACTACCTGGCACCTTTACTCTTACATATCTGGCAATCTACCTCCTGGCAACCTTCCCTTTCCCTAGCTGGCACCTTACCAACTTGACATCCTATTTATTTAGTGCCTTATCCTCCTACCTACCCCACTCTCCCAGCACCCTAAAAACCACATTTATCTTATAGACTTACTTTTTGACAGTAGTTGTCAGAGTAGCTGTCTGGACTTTTACATTGGCAGCTCACTGCTGTGAAAAGAAAGTGGCTCGCCTTTCTCTGACAGTTCTACACAATGACAGAACTGTCAGAATTGAAGCACACCTTGGACATTCTGAGGAAACCCAAGCTAATTTCCTCTCAAATGTGGAGCTTCCTCCTTTTGTAAAAAAATGAAGGGCCAGGCATTTAAAACCAGAACAACGAATGAATTAAATGACAGAACTGCACCACAAGATTTCAGATTTTTCAAAATTTACTGTACATCAAAAAAATTTAATAAGGTAAGCATTATTAACTAAACACCATAGCTTATAAACTTAATACTACTTTTAACTCTTTTCCCACACCCAAACAGAATCCATATCTTACTCCATCTCTGAGGCTAATTCGCTTTTCCTGTGACCACTGTCTGGAATTCACTCCGATCTTTCTTTAGTGTTCCAGCTATTTGCCAAGTTACAAGATCACACGGGATTCCTTCCACTTAGCTTTTGGTTAAACAGTGCTCCAATTTCTTTACCAACCTTATGGGTCTCAATTTCACAGCACCAAAACTGGCTTTCCTCTGACTTCAGCGGTGCAGCTACAAACATCACAAAACACTGTGGCTCTCCATAGCCCACTGTTATGTTTCCAAACTACAACCAAGTTGATTACACTAGGAATTCCAACTGCAACAAGATGAACTGCCTTTTATTGTGTAGATTACTATAGAGTTTTTCTCAAAGCTTCCAGCTAAACAAACCTTCCAGCCATTTTTCCACCTTTTTAAACTTTGTCTCACACTAAATACCAGTCTCAGTTTCAAATCTATCAATCATCGGTAACAGATCTAACAGTTACTCTACTTCACATATAGGTCTGGTTTCTATCTCATGACTTCCAAGGTGCTACAAGCCGCACGAGACCTGAAGCTGACAGTCTTTTAGCTGTTTTTCTCAAACTAGCCTTGCCTGCTGGGTTTGCCTTAATTGAATTCACTATGACACAAAACCAAGAATCTTACTAAGCTTCACCCATCTCCATGGCAATATGACACACGTACTCTGTTGACAGATAGAAATGCAAATTAACAATCTTTTAATTCCAAAACTTTCCTTCATTGTGGGAAACATATGAATAACTTGTATCTTTTATTGGTATAATTGCAGACATCATGTCTCCAGTTCTTACTGCTTTCAGTAATATTCAAATTTTAAATTATAAAATACAATTTGTAAATTATCACTATAGTATTTCAAGGGATCTACAGACTACTGCCTTAGAGTGATTATTTTTAAACTAAAGTAAGCAGTCTCAAGAATTAAATATTTTAAATCAGTGCATGCAAATTCAAAAGTTCGAGCAAAATTGGCAGTGATAGCATTTGAGAAACTAAACATGGGATATTTAATCCAATTACCTGGGCTGTATCCACAGGAGAGGGAGCAAATGCAGTATGTGGTAGTGACTGTGTGGGTCCTAGAAGGTTTCGAATACCATTAAAGTCATGCTTGTACTCCTTAATGGGTTCAATTCGGATTCTTTCCTTTGGCAGCAGTGCTTCATAGCAAGGACAGTAACCAGGAGGAGGCAAGAACTTGAAATCTCCATGTCTACCACCCAGTAAGAATCGAACCCTGCAAGCCAGCAAGAAGACATATACAGGACCTATAAAATCTACATGAAACAGCTTCAAAAAAAAAAAAACTTACTGACCTGGTTAGAATCAAATAGTATAACCAATACCAGCAACCTTAGTCTTGCTCCAAGCCTCTCACCCACATCTCACAACTCCAACATTCTGTCATCTATTCAATCATATTAGGAACATCACCCAAACAAACTGCACTCAAGACACTTTACTCTATCTTGCAAGAGAAGGGGTGTACAACTGGCAGGAGTGAGCACTAATGGAGAGGAGTAGGCCGATTCGAACAGAGATGGCAGTGCTGCCATTATTGCTACAGCCGTTGCTGAGGCTATGAATGGTGGTAGGGCTGAAATCATCAAGGATGATAATAGAGTGTACAGCTGGATGAACACATCAGGCCAGGCAGCATCAGAGGAGCAGGAAAGCTGACATTTCGGGTCTGGAACCTTCTTTTCTGAAGAAGGGTCCAGACCCGAAACATCAGCT